GTAAGACCCTAAACCGTGGTGTAGGAATCTTGTTTTAAGGCTCGTGTTTGGACCTAAGGCCCCCAGTGAAATACAAGTACACCACAAAGCCTCAGCTACCAAAACCCTGCCAGTTTCAGATACTTGCTAGTTTCGGTGTTTAAAATAAGAGACATCTAGAAGCACAGGACAATAGACTACAGGCACAATTTAGCCTAACTTGTTTTAGGGAACAAAAACAAACTCTTTTTAAACTCTTCAACCCCTAACCCTAACTCTAACTCAAGTCAAGAAAACATTAAAGCAGAGACTGAATTTCTCCATTTACAGCAACGGATGTGATGTTTCCCTAAAAGAAAAATGACATTTACCATGTCAGATATGTCGGATGGCACGGCAGTTACATATCCCACAACTCGGTTAACAGTTACAGTTGGGAGAATAAGAGTTTTCAGCCCGTCTTTAGTGTCCAGTCAAAAACCAGGTGATCAAGAGATTCATCAGAGGATTAGCAAAAGGTGTCTGGCGTCAGCTCTGATTCAAATCTTAGTTTAGGAAAACGGCCACTGATAGGTTTTATTGAGAATTTTAAAATGTGTCTCCTTCACTTTTGGTCAGACTAGTTTAATGTACCCTTTAAAAGCTTTGACTAAAACCTCAGATGGAAGGTCTTTATTATTATTATTATTATTATTATTATTATTATTATTATTATTATTATTATAAGATTGCTGTAAAAAATCTGGAGTTGCATCATTTTTCATTAAGCGGGTAGTTCAATAATTGCAGTTTAGGCAAGGTTGGGGGAACTTTGGAGTAAATCAGTGTGTTCTGGATCAAAGGAACCAGAGCAGCCGGGATCAGTGTCGCCAACTCCCCCTAATAGAAAGTAGTTGAAGTTGACCCAGAAAGTCACCCAGGTGTCACTAGATGGTGTCAAATGCTAATTTGCATATTGATGACATCATCACGCCATATAGCATCTAAAAGATATATATATATAAGGGAGGGAAAAAAACTATTTTATGTGTTAATGTTATTAATAAGTATGATTAAAATGGCCCAAATTGCTTTGATATGTAAAATAAATTCCAAATATATAAATAGGGCTAGGGTGACATTAAGACGGATATGGTGTGGTGATCCAAACAGTTCTGTGGTAGGATATAACTCAGACCTCCTGCTCTCCTCATTCTCACACACATTTTCCTAAAAAGCAGTTTTTTACACCTCTGTTGTGTATTCTCTCCATCGTGATAATAACGGCGCACCGAGCAGAAGGGAGCGGGTGTCTCATGGTATAACCATCCCTGTGTCACTGAAGGAGATTCAGATGAGCCACAGAGCTGCGTGTGTAAACGGGACGGTAGCTGAAACTCCCGTTGACTTTATTCGCCAAGTACAGGAAAAGCCAAAGTGTCTGACGGCTGCAGAACCAGAGATCGCAGGTTGACGCCCGCACCGTCTCTAGTAGAAGCGTGAGCCGGCAGCAGCAGCAGGCGTAAATCGGCGGTCTCCAGCTCTGCAAAAGTACCTTTGTCTTCAGACCGGCCAAAAACGGTTTATGATTGGTCAGTCCTCGTGCACATGTGCAGATTATCGTTCTCTTTCCTTACTCCTGGAAGAACGGTTCAGAGTGCAAACGGTTTCTTTGTTGCTAATCTGTGGGGAATATCTACAAGAAAGTTCTACAGAAAGTAGCAACGGGTCCTGAGAAATGTTGCTAGGTTTGTTGTAGGCGCTTTTGGGAAAAAGTCGTTGAGGGTGGTCAAGAAGTCGTTAGGAACAGCGACAAAGATGCTGAGTTGGCAACACTGGCTGGGATGGCTTTACACAGTTTGTTTTATTCACTTTTTTGTCTATTGTATATTTTAATGTATACTGAATTTATTCCAAAACACTTGATCCAGAAAGAAGCCATTATTGTTCATTAAATCTGTGACAAAAGTATACACTTTTTACACCAATCAAGATTAATATTGACTTTTGTTGATGAGAAAAAATCTGTTGTTCCATAATAGAGACCCATGGGTATGAAACAGAGGTGGAAAGTAACGAATTACCGTAAATCCTCTAATATTAGCCTGTATTTAATTAACGGCCGGGTATCATATTTTGGCCGGTGTCAAAGTCGGTGGAGGTGAATAATGGTTTTTTATTGTGACCGGGTGGAATGTGGTAACTAGCAAGTACCACGGGGCGGGGGGGGTTGTGTCATCGTCTCACTTTTGATTTTCCAGTGATAGACCGTGTGGAGACTGTAGAGAAATAGAGTGATGTAACTATCTAGAGTTGTATTTTAATATACTGTAAGTAGATCACTTGTTATAATCAGAAGAATAGGTTGTTTTTATCATCAGGGAGTTCATTTAACACTCTGTATTGACCTTGAGACAAGAAAGAGAGAGTTGGGATCATTTAAGAATTTTATTATAAATTCTACAATCTATCAGGACTAACTCTGTGTTGTTTGGAAATGAATGTGATGTTCGATGTGTGTGTGTGTGTGTGGTTGGTTCAGACTCCTTAGGCTGACGTCATTGAATCTGGTAGTCTTTGTTATGACTAGATATCACGAGGCTTATAAAGTGATGACATGAGCTGCTATTTTGCCGTGTACGTACCCAGTGGGGGTCTCCCAGGTAGATCAGGAAATGCCAGGTCTGAAGACCTCGGATGTGCGCTGGAGCTGGTCGAAACAGCGATCGCAGCGTTTCAAAGCCCGTCTGAAGGGTCGACCCAGGTAACAATCGGCAGCGTCAGCAGGTGCTCTTATTTTGAAAGGATGTCGTCTGGTTGTTAAACGAAGAAAATCTCCAACTTCACAGTTCTTAGTTTAAAGAAGAAAACACATCTGGCCAGGCTGTGCTTCTCTTTGGGATGACGGTGAATAGAACTGAAGTCAAAATGGAACTGAGCTTAAAATGGCGTTGCCTTGTTTTATATCTCTGAATTGTTGATAAGTTTTAGTAAAGCGGATTGGACACTTTAAGTCAACAAGCCAGATTCTCTTGCGGCAGCCGAAAGCTCTGATTGGTTGGATCAATGTGTCATGCGTTTCTATGGAGATGAGGGTCAGTCTGTCTGTGCAGTAGTCCTGTTTTCATTAAACACATAAATCATGACATCTTTATTCCACAGATCATTCACTTGATTATTATTGATCAACATCTGTTTCGAATAGCTTTAATCACAAATTAAGTACTTTGATTATTAAAAAGCGTTCTTCTTCTCCTTCTGGCTCTTCTCCTGGAATGTAAACAGTCTGAGGAACACCCGACCTTGGCGTTTCCTACACGGGTGTTACTGTGTACAGGGGCAGCTGTGTGGAGCTGAAAATTATGAACTTCATAACGTTACAAGACGAAGAGGAGGCGAAAATTTGATATCAAGTTCAAAGAGAACGTGCTGATTATGCTGCAGAACACTCTGGGGAGCAGTAGCAGGGGTTGTATGAACTAGTCACCTGTTTTGTCCTCGGTGACGCACCTCACTGATGGGGCCGGCGAGCACTCCACTGTTTTAGCGGTCGGTAGATCTTTTAGAGCTGCAGTTCAAAGGTAACTCATGAGGTGAATATATATGAACCCAGGTAGCAGTTTCTCTTTAGGATTGAGAGGAGATGCAGGAAGATAATAAACAGGCAGGACGGAAAAATAGTCAAATAAAAACAAGTTAGTTTTTTTACCTGCTGGTTGCAACAAACAGACACCATTGAAGGTAATCAGAAGTGAGGAACAGAAAATGAAATAATTATTTTAATGTTCAGAGCAGCAGGAACTCCGAGAGGCTGCAGGCGCATCAGTGAGTTTGCGGCCACTAATTCTGTGTAAAAATCGTTTTCCAACAGGACAGGATGTGGTCATGAAATGCAGACAGTTGATAGGAATGTTGGTTAACTTAAAATCGCACCTAAGCAAGAAGTCTAATCCACCAACCAAGGTTTGCGTTACCACATGGAGTTTGGTTGTGTAAGATAGGCTTTTAACTAAGTTAATGTGAGGGACCAGTTAAAGCCTCTAGGTCCAGGGCTTTAATCCCTCCTTATCGTAATCTCTAACAAGTTGTGATTTCTTTAAATAGTGAGTCTTATTTCTCCAGATACATTAAAACAAAATTGAATTTGCTTTACCGATTTGAGATAAAAAGTGAGTAACATGGGTTTATCAGTTTAGATACGCCTACAGCTTTGGTTAGGAGAACTCGGCCAAATATAGTGAGATCTCTGCATAAGCATCGATTCAGGTTTCTTTCATATCAATTATGCGATTTTTAAGGTTTGAGTTGTCCCTTTGGGTCGAATTCTTAGAGATGATCAGGCCTATTTAGGTTAGCTTTTATCAAATTATTTATTATAGTTTTATTTCTTGTTTTACATGAATATATTTTATTACTAGCTTTGCATGATTATATTTTAGCATTGTTTAATTTTACTGTCCATATGATTTTATTTATTATTAATTTTCTGATTTTTGTCATTTAGATTGGCTCTTTTATTTTCATATTTTGACTCATTTTAATCAGAATCAGAGAATTTTATTGCCAGCGCTCCGGCGAACCAGAGCATAGGAACTTGACTCCACAGAACAGCCTGACCAAGATTACACACACACACTTATACAGTAGACCCATTTTCTGTTTGTAAACAATATGACGTCAGCGAGAATGTGCACGCAGCTTGGCAACAGAGAATGGCGTTGTGTCAGGCTTTATCAAGCTACGCTGCGGGGTTATCACCGGCAAATCTTGAATGTTACATTATTAAACTCACTTTAACGAATGGCAACAGACTCCCGGATCCCTGTGGCATTACGGAATGGGTGGAAGATGTAGGTGCGTGGCCAGATATCCAGTGGCCCGATATATGTATACGTTTTTAGTGGAGAGGCCCAGTAAGTACACATATGAGACGCTACGGGCATACAAATGGTTAGATGCATACAACTATGTTGTCTGTGGCCACGTACAGAAAGTAAAATATCACCACATAGACTCTGAGTTTTGCTTCTTGAAGGCAGAAG